ACCCCAACCCACCTCCGCTCGGGGCCAAAGGGCCCTCGGATGTGGCTCCGTGACATGTTCCTCTGCCTATTAATAAAACTCTTCCTATTATCAAAATGACACCCCTGATTATAGTAATATTAAACATTAGTAAACCAGTGTCTTATTTGCAATCATGATCATGCAATTAAATCAAATCAAATAAAAGTACATAACATAAATAAATAATTCATATTACTTTTACTGTACTCATATACATTGTTTAAATAAATAATCGAATCACTTATGAGGAATATATTAAAATAGTAATAGTGGGGATTATAGCACATAATACATGGTCTCTATGCGTTGTAGAGAAAACAAAAATAGTCATATCTATAGTAGTACTCTGTAGGTCAACTAACTAAACATTCTAAAACACTATCGTTCACGACTAAAATAAAGAAAAAAGGTAGATTTTTATGTTCCTAAAACGCTGTATATATTCTAGATGAGAAAGACCTACCTGGTGAAATGGATGGTAATGGTGGCTGCTGCAACGTTATGGAATACTCCCACAAGGATCTTGAGTTTGTGTTCCATAGGCGTTTAATCGAATGATCGGGGTAATGATAATGTGAAGTTCATTATTATTTATTATTATTATTATTATTATTATTATTATTATTATTATTATTATTATTATTATTATTATTATTGTTATTGTTATTATTATTATTATTATTATTATTATTATTATTATTATTAGTAGTAGTAGTAGTAGTAGTAGTAGTAGTATTATTAATACTACTATTGGGTTTGTGTTCCGTAGGCGTGTAATCGAATGATCGGGGTAATGGTAATGTGAAGTCCACCATTATTATTATTATTTATTATTATTAATATTATTATTATTATTATTAATATTATTAATATTACTATTATTATTATTATTATTATTATTATTATTATTATTATTATTATTATTATTATTATTATTATTATTAATTTGAAAAACTAGTTTTGGACTTCATTTTCTGATATCTGATCAAGACAATCATCAGAAATAATAAATCAAAATAGACAAAAATATCTTAAATATTGTATATTAAAATAACTGGTTATGACATTTTTTTTAAAAAACACAATTTATATAATTTATATTCAGTATCTATATGTAATATTTTTCCAATGTCTTATGATAATCATTGATTTCATCATAATTATAACCTGGCAATAAACATCTTGCTCGACCATCTGCCATACAGTTTGTCTGGGTTTTTTTTTGGTTCATTTTTCGTTTTTGTGAATGATATAATAATAACCTTATTTGTTCTTCTTCCGGTGGAGTTGCTGCTGTCGCTTAGGTAAAATCTTATTGGTTAATTTTGACAGAATTCAAACTGACAATAATAGGAAGATGGAGTATATTCACATGCTTACATTGAACACTCGACAATTTGCTACGGGGATGCAAGGTTAATTCGTATGGAAATATATAATATTCACTACGGATTTGACGAGTAAAAAAAAAACTATAAAAAAAATTTAAAAAAAATAAATGAAAACCCAATCGTTCTACTCTTAAAATGTTTAAGTAATTTTAGAAATGTTAAGCAAACTTTATTGTAAGATCATACCAATAATCTTAGTAATTACGATTCTAAAGTGTCTAAATTTATAGAGGGCGCTATATGATATTATGGCCATAATTGTAACCTAAGATAGGTTATTACGGTACATTAATAAAGAATGCCAGTGACTGTTGTTAGAGTGGCAGACGGTTAATTGCATCCAACATTGTACTTCGTTCAGTGCGGGAATAAGGTAGGGGTTTGTTTATACACAGATTCTATAGAATTGTGGTTTACGTTTCAGTATTATTTAATGTTGATGTGCTTTGTAATGCTTACCAGAAAGATTTGCTTTCTTTATGCTGAATATATACACATACACATCTTGTAATAGCAAAGTGTTATAAATTAAAAGCAAACTGAATTTAAACATTTTTTTTCAACTTTCGCGAATAATATAAAATTATTGTAATTCATAATTATGTATATTTTAGTAATTTGAGAGAATATAAAGTTTGGGATGTGTTCATAGTACTAACTTTACGCGGTTTTATACAACTTAACTCAAACTAGGCCTATGCCTTTTCTGATAGTGCATTTTACGTTGTTTCTACCTTTCTCCTATTATTCTAAGCTTCTAAGCTGGTAGGACTACTTTATGTCCCGTATTCGCCCGATTCAGGGTGGAATTATTATATTATAAGGACTTTCTTTTGTGATACCACTATGGGACATATCCCTTAGACACCGTTTGGCCATGAATGAATTGAGAGATGTTAACACTATAAATGAGACATTTTTTTGGCCCCGAAGGTGTCCGTTTAGTACTGTATTATTTTTAGCTACTCATCGTTTTTGAAAGGAGCTATGCTTTTCATTTTCAAAATCTTTAAATGGAATTGGCAGGACAATGTCAAAGCAGGTTACTATTTCAATAAAGAGTATAATAAATAAGCAGTTCATTTATTTATATCATTATCCAATGTATAATGTTATTACCTTATTTGAGACACTCACTCAAGGAAATGATGCGACTTGTGCCCGATATTTTGTTTGCAGTATCAATAACCTAATTTTAATTTAACCATAGTGTGTAAATGACATTAAGTAGTATCGTATCGCATTAGTTCTAATAAATGATCGAAACCATCCTTGTGTAGAATTTAAAACATGGAAACCTTTGCTGTCAGTCAGTGGCGGATTCAAGGGGGAAAGCGGCCTGACGCAAGGGGCCCACGCCAAGATTTGCCCGACAGGGGTGGGGGGGAGGAGGTCCCCGACGAGTGGGCCGATGCCCCGACGAGGGGTCAGATTTCCCCGACGAAATAAAAGTGGGCGTGGTCGAACTTCGATTAAAATGTATAGAAAGTGGTCCTGGGGGCGAAGGCCCCGAAAAATTTGACAATTTAGGGGTTTCAATTAAGGCTTATTTAATCGGTTTTATAGTCTACTAATAATAATATGTACAAAATACATATAATTTTTACCGTATTCTCCCCGACGAATTGTGCTTTTTCTCTCCGACGCCGGGGGGGGGGCAGGTCTCCCCTGCCTGACGCCTTAGGCCTAGCTAGGTATGAATGCCATCCGTTTCGGCCGCGATTGGGCAATCCAGAAAATCAGGAAATAAAGTGTTTTGTTTGTCTTAATATAAAATATACACTATAAACACTTTACAATAGTAAATAGGTTAGTTATATTCTGTAAGAATTTTAGGTTTGTTAAACTTAAAATTACGCTCATTTCTTGTAAGTTATACCTGGTGTAAGCTTCGCTGGGCGAAATGGCATACATAAAACATGTTGTTTGCCATTCCCACAGTCTTTTATTACTGTTAAGTGAAACGCATTATTATGATATCAGTATTAGAAATTTATTAGCAAAGGGTTGTAAAGTACCACAGTCGTGTCTTCACGACGCCAAGTGGCGCTCTCTGTTTTCAACAGTCGTTGGTTACCGTTCATTAAGCCTGAATGACTTTTTGGAGGCATTTTGAAATCTAATATTTTACTATCAAAATGTACTAAAAACATAAAAGCTCGCATTATGTTAGTTATCGAATTTGTAATTATCAATTAAAATTTACAAAGGAAAAGTAAGATACAACATCTTAATAATTACATTAGAAATTTGGATCAATGGTTGTCAGTGGTGAAAATGGCGCCCGCGGTTGAACTCTTTTTGCAACTATAGCAACGGAGTAGTATCACGCGGTAGACGTAACACTGTACTCTATGCTTTCGCTCGTTTGCTCACTCGCTCTCTGCCGCGTTGTTTTGTTTTGTTATGTTAGGCCAAAGTTTGTCGCTAGGCCTAATCTATAAACCCCTTGCAATGTTTACATTGGACTTGGCTGAAACGCTGGCGGCGCCGCCCTAACTGGAGGCAGAAAGGCTATCTTAATACACAGTCTGGGTTATATTTATTGATGTTGTGCCAAAAATATGAAAGCTACATGGATGAAAATCACATATAACATATTTACATATATTAGGAATTGACAACAAGAATAAAAATTAAAGAAACTTTATTTTTTCTATTTTTATTCAATTTTGAAACTCATCTCATCGGAGCGCGCTAGGCCAAGAAAGTGCAAGAGTGTGGTGACATCGCCTCCGCCGGTGTAAAGGGCCTCGAATAGGCCTGTGAATTTTCTGTTTTACCACACGGTGAGGCTAGGCTAAATTTTACGAACGTTTTGAGGTATTCGTTAATAAATGGAAAGTAATTATTACAACAACATGGATGAAACTCACATGACATAGTTACATATATTAGGAATCGACAACAAAAATAAAAAGTCTAAAAAATTATATTTTTACTATTATTCTTCAATTTTGTTTAATTATTCGGATGCAAGTGCAAGAGCGCCAGACCAAGAAAGCGAAAGCTTCATTACACGACAATACCGCAGTTTGGCCGCGTTGCGCGAAGGACGCTGACAGCAACGTAGTTCGGCCTATGAGTTAGAAGCAAAGAAAAATGTATTTTTAGAATATATCCATTCGACTGCCTCAATATTACTTTTAAGCAACTATAATATATTAAAGTAATCATTGCAAAAACGTATATAATATAAATATATGTTTTTGTAATGATTACTTTCTGAGTAATTATTCCATAAAGCATACCTCAAAACGTTCGTCAAATTTAGCCTAGCCTCAACGTGGGGTAAACAGAAAATTCACAGACCTATTCGTGGCCCTTCATACCGGCGGAGGCGATAACGCCACACTCTTGCACTTTCTTGGCCTAGCGCGCTCGCACATGGCAAAATCCGATGAGATGAGTTTAAAAATAGAAAAAATAAAGTTTCTTCACGTTTTTTTTTTTGTTTTTTTTTTTTGTCAATTCCTAATAATATGTAAATATGTCATATGTGATTTTCATCCATGTAGCTTTCATATTTTTGGACATAGTTAAATTTTTCAAATTTCAAATTACTTTTGTTATATTACAATAATTTCTTTGTAATTTGGTTTTATATATTCGTATTATGTATTCGTGGCCCTTCATACCGGCAGAGGCGATAACGCCACACTCTTGCACTTTCTTGGCCTAGCGCGTTCGCACATGGCAAAATCCGATGAGATGAGTTTAAAAATAGAAAAAATAAAGTTTCTTCACTTTTTTTTTTTTTTTGTCAATTCCTAATAATATGTAAATATGTCATATGTGATTTTCATCCATGTAGCTTTCATATTTTTGGACATAGTTAAATTTTTCAAATTTCAAATTACTTTTGTTATATTACAATAATTTCTTTGTAATTTGGTTTTATATATTATATTAACAATTAGTGACAATAGTAGTATATACTGTAGATAGAAAGGGGTGGGCGGTTGGTGGGAATACAATTTACGAGCATTATTTTATAAATTAAACAATATAAAACACTGTTGTACTGGGCATGCATTTCTGTGTACTTCCTCCATCATTAAGCCAACCAAAGTATACCAATAGTTTTACAAAATTATTTTATTTTACTTATTATTTTTGCTTGTACAATCATACATTGCATATTTCTCTTTTTATTTGTTGAACTTTTTTTTGGCATTTGATATTATTTTTTGATAATGTTATTGGATTAATATAATTTTGCTTTTCAATTCAATTTCTGTTTCTTTTATTAAAACCACCTCGCAGCATATTGGCGAATTACTGTACATGGTAAATTATATTTAAAAAATCATCAAAATAAGAGCATAAGGAAAAGCTGGACATCTAAAAAACACCATCAAACATTAACAGTAAATATAAAATAGTTATTTCATAGAACATTAAAATTATATAATAAAAAAAATATGTACTGTTGAATTAATGTGTTTTACTGTATAATGACAGCTATTATTATTGTTATTATTAATAATAGGCCTATTGATCTATTTATTGTAAGTTGAAATAAGTAAAGGTGTAGCATTTAGGTTGCGGATATATGTCACACGTCTTAGATTCATAATTTCCGATATCAAACTGTCGAGTAATCAAACTACTGGTAATCAAATTTCTGTAATAAAACATAAATTTCATGTTAAGTTATTTTATAATATTATTAGCACATGAACATTTAGAATTTACATTTCCCTGGTATATTACACACCGTTGCTCTTTGCAATTTACAAATAAAACATAAAAATACTAATATACACATTGAATGACGGTAAGTTATAATTCCGACGTTGGAAAAAAGACTTTTTTTTTTTACAGTACTTATGTAATAATATACAACTAATCCCACGCGCTTGGGCTTACCAGTAACCACAGTTATCTATGTCTTTGCTACAGAGGTCGAATAAGGGTCTCAGTTAAGTATGTCTTTGGATATACTCAGTAGCACCAAGGTGCTCATGCAGTCTACCACTGTGCATTATGAATAAAAGGTTAGAAAACACAACTTTCATAAAGTTTTATTATTGTATCATCAATTTCAACACAATCGATTGCATACCAACCTAAGCAATACAAACCTAATCTTAAAGTAGTAAACAAACAAAATGCACATTCCTAATTCAAGAATAATAGAAAAGGAAGCTCAAATAAAGCAAAGCTTTTAAGCTGAGACCCTTGTAAATGAATTAATACATATAATTACAATTTAGGAGAACACTATATCAATCTAATGAATATAACAATAATAAAACTAAACAATAAATAAATAAATAAATAAATAAAAAAAAATAATAAAAAGTAAATAAATAAATAAATACATAAATAAATAAATAAGTAAAAAGAAACACAAACATCGTATATTGT